TTTAGTAGGTGCTTCACTTTCAGCAACAAATGCTCGCAATTTATCCTTCTGTTTCTTTGTCAGATTGTCGAAGATCCAACGTTAAATTTACTCATGATAACGTTCCGATTTATGCCTCTTTCTAGCATCTTTATAATTTCTAATTTCTGGTTCAGTGTCAGGGTTATATGCTTCCTTTTTAAAGTTTTCTTACCACTACTACTAGCACCTTCATTCACTTTTGACTCCATCACTATGTACACTCTGATGGGCAAAAATATTCAAAAGTCAAAACAGCACTCTCCAGTGGGTCACAATGCTAATGGCAGACTGACTCAATGCCTTCCGGTTCACTGGGTTCAACTGCTGCCTCTGGTTTTTTGCGCAAGCTCACTCACTTGATCTTTTGATCCTGGACTATCGGTCTACTGGTAAAAGTGATCTCTTGTGAGTTTCAGCAGCAGCCTGTCACCTGCGGATCTACCCGTTCCCACTGCCCCTCCCCCCCGGCAGTAGAGAGGAAAGTTACATTAACTGCGTGTCGGCTGTGGATCCAGCCGGAGTGACTGTAACTGACCAGAACGTCCTGAATGCGGCTGCTTTGGCACACCCTCGCCCCCTCCTCCTCCCCCTCTCCCACTGACCCCTACCTTCCCCTGTCCCCCCTCCTCCCGGCAGTAGAGAGGAAAGTTACATTAACTGCGTGTCGGCTGTGGATCCAGCTGCAGTTAATCAATTACTCTAACAACTTGAAGCAGCTGCCGGAGCACTTCCGGGTTGCAGTTGGTGCCGGACCATCAGGCGTACCGGACCACTGGATGCCGGACCACCAGAGTTTTACTGTAATTTATTTAAAAAAATATTAAGCTGCATGCTGGGGGGAGCCTTTCCTAAATTCTTGGCTTTCTGCTTTCGGTAAAAAAACTCACTAGCATCCTTTTCACGTGGGATACAATCTTCTATACCTATAAAAGCTCAAAAATTAAGGGAAATATCCTCTGACTATTAGCAGTTTCCCATTAATCAAATATTATTATATTGGGGGAGGAGCAGCATGTGAATTGCCTCAGTTTCTAATAAGGATGTTAACTAATGGTTAATTTACTGGTCGAGTAGTCAAGGTGGAATATCCATCGACAACTTGACTAGTCGATAGGCATTTCTTCATTCCTCCTTTGAAATGTACAAGAGTCCCCAGCGGGAGACCAGGGACTCCCCAGCCCACAAGACCCGGGGTCCTAGGTTCTGTGGAAATGCTGTGCTGGAGATTGGGATCATCTGGGAAGTTCCCAGCTGACCCTGGGCTCCATGCACAGCAGCGCCACACACCTAATTCCCGGCTCAGCTGTGCGGTGCTGTCGCTTTGAAGTACCTCTCTCCTTCCCCCTCCACCTTTGGTGCCTCTGTATAATAGGGGCAGCAAGGTGGGAGGAATTGTCTAGTCATCTGACTGTCTGATAAACATTTGTTTATTAGATTGTCAAGTAGCCGACTAGTCCTTAACATCCCTAGTTTCTAATGCGTCCTAGGCTATAGCTACACAATATTTTGGAGCAAGTTTGAGTGAACCTTCCAGACGTAGTAGACAAACTCAAGCTAGTGGTACTCACCTGAGCTGTCCAAAAATAGCTGTGTAAACCAGCACTTTGAAGTTGTGGCTTGGGCTCTGAAGCCTAGGGCAGGTGATGGGCAATCTGAGCTGACACTTCAAAGATCTAAAAATAGCTGTGTAGACAGAGCAATAGTACGAATCACAAAACCATAGTATTTAAACAAACAAACCCAACAGATATGAAGTTTTTTGTTTGTTTATTTATTTAAGGTTCTGGAGCCCTCAATGACAGCATGTCTGGTGGAATGCAACTGCTTCCAGATCCTCTCTATTCACTCCCTACTGATAATACCTATCTTCTGACCATAACTTCCACTGAAAATGGGCGTATCTTTTTGGCTGGAAAGGATGGCTGTTTATATGAAGTAGCTTACCAGGTGAATATAATTTCTATATATAGGTATTTTTTATGTTGGTTATGTGGTTGGTATTTTGGGGATTTTAATACTTGTCATTCTTGTCTCTTCATTTCCACAATTCTGTTGCCTGCCTTAATTTATTTGAGTGATAGCGCTGAGCTCTTATTACAGAAATGCTAGATCAAAATAAATTTGTTCAGCAAAGGACATGCATCATGAGATCTCCTTTCTGAAAGCTTCTACAGAACTGCTGTTAGCAGCCATCTTATCGCTAACTTCCATACTACCTTAATAGGAGCAGCAGTTCTGATTATTGAAGACAGATGAAACCTGGATGTTGGATGGAATTCTGATTATTGAAGACAGATGAAACCTAGAAAGAAGTTGGATGGAGTGGGGTTTGATATGCTGTCATGAATTTAATTTTACTTCACTGAATCAATTTGTAGACCAGAACCCCATCCTTTCTCTGTAAAGGGACACCATGAGGTGAATTATTTTATAGGCTTTCTATTTATTTTTATTATAATAAACTCAATAAATTGTTGATTATTTTTATTAATTTACATTATATCAGCATCTGGAAACCCCAGCCAAGTTGAGGGCTCATTGAGGTATGTCTTGTAAAAATCAATCTCTGCCTAAAGAAGTGAAAATCTTAGTTTTAAGAAATATTCAAGGAATAGCTGAAACAATTAGCCAATCAGTTTCCTTTGTTTGGATGGGTCCTTGACACATTGTATATGAGAGACTCAACTTTGCCTTCCCCTCCAAGCGGAAAATGTGGAAAACCACAAGAAATGGCTTTAAGATACATGGGCTTCTAAGTTCCTGAATCCACTTTTAGTTTGTTTGTTTTGTTTATCTACATTGCAATAGGAAGTGTCTCTTTAAATTTGGGTCCTTGAAAACAGAGTGTATGTCAGGCAGGAATTCACATGTTTATCTAACTTAATTTTTATCCTTTGTGTTTTTAATTGTAGGCTGAGGCAGGCTGGTTTAGTCAACGGTGTAGAAAGATCAATCATTCAAAGAGCTCTCTTTCTTTCCTTGTTCCTTCATTGCTGCAGTTCACATTCTCAGAGGATGGTAGGTGATTAAGTGTCAGTAACTGAAATGTTTATGAGTTAACATTAAATAAATAAAACACTTAGGCCAACACTTTCATATTTTCATGAATTGAGTTAAAGACAATGAGAATAGCAAATGGTTGGCAGTTAGATGCCTAAATGTGGATTTACATATTAGATTTTGAAAATGTTGCCCACCATGGCTAAAGTTCCTATTAGTGGTAAAAATTTTGGTAATTTTACATACTGCATTGATAATACTGTAATCTGTATGGCAAAACTTTTAATTGGAATTGTTATACAAATATATAAAATGTTTCTTATGTGATAGATTAGATAGTAATAGTCTGCTGTACTATTGTACTTCAGTCAGATGTCACTTTTAAATCTGTTCTTGGGCAGGAGTTTATTGTAAATTAAATGCCATATATGAGTATATTTTCATAAGTGGTTCAGTCTAATAAGTGATTTAGTCTGGCAAATCTAGCCTTGTAAAGTTTGAGTACTACCAATTTTACTGTATTAACTACTTTACATCAAATCCATTTTTATTTGCATGTGTTTTTTATTTATTTATTGCAGATCCCATAGTTCAAATTGCTATTGACAATTCTCGCAACATCCTATATACCCGTTCAGAAAAAGGAGTGATACAGGTACATGAATACTTTCAGTGTCCTATTTGGAGGTTTTTAATGCAACTGCATTATTTTTACCCTTCCCCTCTGAAAGAAACCCTATATTTATGCATTAGGTTTTGTTGTGTGCCACTCAGGATAGGAAAGATTTCCTCCAGGATATTTTCTTGTATTTGTTTCTTTCTCCCCCCCTCCCCCCCCCCTCAAATATTCTGTATTGTGATCACGATCCTTTCTAGTGAAGACGAGGAAGATCTACTGCCTCAGTCCTCTGATGTAGGGGAGCTTGCGGCCAAAGAAGTATTCTGATTTATTGCATGAGTTATGTATATTGTGAAACTAACGAACTGTTATTAAATTACAGGTTTATGATCTGGGACAAGATGGTCAAGGAATGACCAGAGTTTCTTCTGTTTCTCAGAATGCTATTGTTTCTGCTGCTGGAAACATTGCCAGGTAACATCAAGAGTGTGATGTGAAATACTTTCTGTGGTCGATCTGTTTTTTTTTTTTTAAATGTTTAACCAAACTTTTGAAAAGTGGTGTGTATTCTCTGAATTGTTTATTGCATGATGTCAGTTACATAAACTCTTTTCTATTCTTTTAGGACTATAGATCGCTCTGTTTTTAAGCCTATTGTTCAAATAGCGGTGATTGAAAATTTGGAATCCATAGATTGTCAGTTGCTGGCAGTCACACATGCTGGTAAGAAATCAGTATTGCCTCCTTCCCTTATTGGTAAATAAGACCTGCTTAGGTTTGGAAAATTGACAAACAAATTTCTTTGCAAAGTTGTCTATCCTACATATATGCTAGAACATTTATATAATAATGGATATAATACTGTTACAAATCTCTTGTATATTGCTTTAGATCGGTGGTTCTCAAACTTTTTGGGCTCCAGAGCCCTTTACATGCAAAAAAATTTATGCGGCGCCCCAGCGGTCCACTGATTGTATGTGTTGTACCTATCAATGTTTCCAGTTTGTCAACTTCGCAGAGCCCCTGGAGATGTCTTGTGGAGCCCTGGGGCTCCACGGAGCACAGTTTGAAAAACACTGCTTTAGATATTCAAAGCACTTCAGACCATATAATTACTTATATGGTAGGAAAATGGGGGGAGATTGATTTGCCAAACGTTACACAGAAAACTAATGGCAGACCTGGATTAGAATCATTTGGCTTGGATACAAGGATCATTTTCAAGAAGGAATGTAATAGTTTTTAAACAGAATTTCTTATAAGCTTCTGAATTAAGCCTTGCATCAGATGTGTTGGGACTGTTAGCCAGTTATATTTACAAAAAAATCCATTGTCTAAGAGTGATCATCTTTTTACTTTGGCTTAGGTGTACGGATGTATTTTAGTACATCACCATTTAAGCATCCAATGGCTCGCCCCTCCATGTTAACATTGGTTCACATCCGCTTGCCTCCAGGATTTTCTGCTTCTTCTAATGTGGAGAAGCCATCAAAGGTACACAGAGCTCTTTACAGCAAAGGTAAGCATTGGAGTGCAGCTTAAATAGGAATCATTCTTTTTAAGATTGTTGTAACAAGTAGTGCCACCATGATTGCTTTTTACAGTAGGAAACTTGGGGCGAGAATTAAGAGTGGACTTGTACTGAAGTCAAGTAGCAGCAGTGGGGCCGGTGTACGTTTTTGCTTCTACTACAACGTCTTAATTTTATTATTTTATCAGGTGTCCTGTTGATGGCTGCCTCTGAAAATGAGGATAATGATATCCTGTGGTGTATCAATCATGATTCTTTCCCTTTCCAAAAACCAATGATGGAAACACAGGTAGTAAACACTTTAATATTGTTAAGTAATATCAATTTGTTTGAGAGGGCATGGACAATATTATTTGAATATCATAGGCTCCATGAATAACTTTTAAAACTCATGTATAGAAAAAGTAACTTACACAAAAACTCTTGTGATTAGCAGTGTTCCCTCTATTTTTTTGTCTATGTGCAGAATGACTTTTGTTATGAACACCAATATGGAGGTGATGTATCACGTAACCAAAGTCATTCTGCACATAGACAATGTGTAGCACGCATGGTGCTGAGTGAATGTGGGATAGGGGCTCAGGTCTAGGACAAAGGGTTGGCATATTAGTGAGGGGTCTGTCTGGGGGTGCAGGCTCTGGGCTGAGGCTGGAAATAAGAGGTTTGGGGTACAGGCTGCCCCAGGAGAAAGGACTACCCACTGTGGACCAGGGAAGGGGCACCTGTCCTCTGGCACCAGCACCTCTGGAGCAGCTCTGACTTGGGCATCTTGAACTATTGTATGGGGCTATGTAGATTAGAAGGACCTTAGGTGACTAGTTACTTGGTAAATATTTATGGAGATGTCTAATGGTGGTGTTGTAGGTCAGGATTTACTGTTGTAGTGTTCTGACAGGTCTTCTGCCCAGTCAGTGATAACCAAAGGGCTGCATGTCTGTGTGCTCATTCATGAGTGCCATATTGACTTGCACAATTAGTCAACATAGCAGACTCTGAGAGAGCTCCCAAAGACCACAAATCAGATAAGGATCGAAGTTGTCCGGCTAGGTGTATTGTTAAGCAAAAACCAGTAATAGTTGTCAGTAGACTCTACCGAACCACTATGCGTATGTAGCCTGTAACAATGGACTCCTATCAATCAGTGGGAGGTCCCACTACCCCAGCAACTAGACAAAGACTATCCCCCCAAGACACCATTTTGTATATAGGTACAAACAAGTTGCACATCACTCCTGATGTGTCAGGTTGCCACTTTCTGATGCTACTTAGATACCACCCATCACCCTGCACTTCATTGTTCAACTAATAAGTCTCTATTCATCAGCTATCAGTTTAAACCTTTTCTTGAACCTGGGTCGGTATCTGTGGCGAGTGTGGGTACTCAGGTCTTTTTTAAAGAGCTGGGGTTACCATCCTTTGGGAATGTGCTTTCAACTTATGACCAGTACCAATTACTGTTCTATACCTGGGCCCTGTTACCAATTAGCGTTTTACACTCTCAGCCCTGTTTGTCCCACGTTGTGTGAACAGGGGCCTGCCTCTCACTTACAGCTTAGCTTTACTTTATATTAGCCACATTTTGTGCTTCTTGGGCTTTTGTTTCAGGCCCTTATCTTATTACAAGTGTATTTTTTTATGTTCTGTGTACTTTTTTGTAGTACCAGTCTCATTCTAGGTATTTCTGTTTGGTGAATGAAGCTGGTGTCTTTCAGTGGAAGCTTCTACTTTAATACTCTCCAGCTAGAGAGCGAAGTTTGATGCAAAGTAGGATTGAAAGACATACCATGGCCATTATAAATCCTTGGAAATGGTGTCCGCGATGTGATATGTCCATAGGCATGGTCCTGCCACAAAGTGATTATATTCTAAGAAGAGCAACATTTGAAGGGCAGGGAAGATAATACATTATTTTTGTTTGTTTAAACAAGTACATCAGCTCCACCAGACTTCCCTCAATCATTCCATTATTTGGCCCATTTCTTGTAGTCGTCAAAGGTGAAGAGAGGGTCTGTAAGAGAGATTTGAAGGTCGAGAGAATAGTTGCCTTATGGATTAGTTCAGCTAGTGCATTCCATGAATAGGGTGTGGCTTGGAAGAAGGCATGAGGATTGTTGTTGTTGAAGTGGACAACTGAGCTGTCAAGAGTTGCATGATTGGTGAAGCAAAGGTGGGCTGAGGGCCAGTCTTACAAAAGACAGGATTATTAAATAAGAAGGGGCAGGGCTAGTTTCGGTCTCCTGTGTTAAGTCACGTTTAGGTAGACTTATTGGCTGACTTCATGATTGTCGTTAAAACTCCTTCAAGAAGTCTGCCTGTAATTTTATATTAGAAACCTCAGATCCTTTCTTCTCCGCCCACCTCCCACGGTCCCTCTCTTTTAGCTAGGGCAATCACCAATCATGCAGTGTTTGGAGGAGGGCACTGTCTGTTCCTTAAGATTTGAAACCTGAACTGCAGTTTTCCTCTTTTTTTGTTGTCATTCCTTAATTCACCTGTCATTTTCCTCCCTGTTGTCTCCTCTTTCTGTTTCTTTTCACAGAACTTATGTGAAAGAAAATAAATAATGCTTAGATAACTCCTCTGTACACAGAAGTTTGTTATTTAGAAGGACCTCTGAAGTACAGGACTGATGATATGACTAGGTGTAGGAGCTGCTAGAGCAGCTTGGGAGGATTCCCCACATATTGGAGGAGTCCTTTCAATAGCAAAACAAAACAACCACATACTGAAGGAACACCTTGGTGACTAGGTTAGAAACTGGATTTAGGACTGATATAAAATCAAGCAAGTGGGAGATAACCTTACGCTACTTCCTTCCTACTAAATGCCTTGGCCTGAATTATATCACTGTTGCCAGTCTGTTACTGGAAGATTTTTTATCCTCATGTTTCATTTGCAATTCTTGGATATTTTTTAGTTTTTGTGCATTTGGAGTTCTGCAGCTTGTATTGTTAGGAGCACCATAGGACCATATTATTGTAGTCATATATACAAATAATGAACTGTCCCAAAGAGCTTGCAGTACAATAAAAGCTGTGTTTTCCAGTACTGTACCAACTAGAAGGCTCTATAAACCATTATTTCCAATCTTCATTGAAAATCTGATTTATAATCTGGTAGGCCTAGGGCATGCAGGCTCCCTTCCTGCCTTTATGTGGCTCCCCTGAAGTAGCAACATATCCCTGCTGGTCCTAGGTGAAGGAATGGCCACAAGGGCTCTGTGTGCTGCCCCTGCCCTATGCATTGGCTCTGCACCTTCCATTAGCCAGGAGTCTCAGTGCACAAAGCTGCCTAGCCACACCTTTTTCTAGGAGCAGCAGGGACATGTTGCCCTTATGGAGGAACTGCCTGATTTATCACTCCAAAACCCCTCTCATGCCACAACCTCCTACTCCAACCCCCCTCCTGCATCCAAACTCTGCATCCCCTTCCACACTCGGAACCATAAGTGCCAGCTTTCTGTGGGGTGCTCAGCCCCCTGCTCTGTCCCAGGCTTCACCCCTACCCCACCTCTTCCCACTCCCTCCCCCAGTGTGCCCAGTCCCCACTCCTCCCCTTCCTCCAAGAGCTTCCTGCACACTGCATAATCGCTGATTGGGGCAGGCAGCAGGCACTGGGAGGAAGAGGAAAGAATTGATTGTCAGGGCCTCTGGTGTACAGAAAGCACTGGAGTGGGTGGGGGAGCTGGCTACTGGTGTGTGCTAAGCACCCACTGTTTTGCTGTTTTGTTTTTTTTTTCTTTTTTCCATAGGTGTTCCAGTCTATGCTCCAAACCCCCCAGCTCCTGCTTGGAGCTCCCTCCTGCACTCCTCATCCCTGGTCCCACTCCAAAGACTGCACCCCCAGCCCACACCTCATTCCCCTGCCGAAGCCCCCTCCCACATTCCAAACTCTTAATTAACCAGAATATTTGACTGTGATCCCTCCCCCCTCCATTCCTCTAATGTTCTGGATAACAAAACTTCTACTGTAGTTTGGCCGATTTTTTTTTTTTTAATTTGATGTGAGTATATATCCATGTGCCTGTTTTAATGTTTTATTTTCTTATGGGCTTGTTGTCTTAAGAGTACTTTGTTTGGTGCTGTATAATGTTAAAAATACTGGTTATTTAGATCTCACCATCGGTGTGCAAAACGTGCATCCTGTTTGAAACTTTTGGTAATGTTCCTCTCTCACTCAGATGACCACACATGTTGATGGACATTCGTGGGCTCTTTCTGCCATAGATGAATTGAAAGTTCCAAAGATTATAACACCATTGAATAAAGACCTTGTTCCAATAACTGATTCTCCTGTTGTTGTACAACAGCACATGCTACCACCGAAGAAATTTGTTCTGCTCTCAGCTCAGGTATGTCTTGTTTGGGGATTGGAAGAGGAAGAAGCAGCAGCTTAACGCTTCAAATTGCTGTAAAGTGCTAGCCATGCGCATGGAGTTTGGAGAGACTACATTTGGGCAAGGGAAGGTGGGGAGAGGGGAAAAAAGATTAAGGATCCATTTGTAAATTCTGTAAACCAACTCAAGTTCACAGAGCCAGATTATCTTCTGACATAAATTGACATTTCTCTGTTAACTTCAGGGGAGTTGCTTAGTTTTACATCAACTAGTGGCCAATAGTTCAGAATAATATGAGGGAATTTCTACATTTGGTGCTGGGGACATGATTTCTACCTTGAGTAGACATACTCAAGTTGAGCATGCAAAGAACAGCACAGTAGCTAGGCCACCCCCAATGCATACCATGGGGGTCCAATTGTGTATAATGCAGCTCGCCCATGCTGCCACTAACCATGCTACTGTGGCTGCACTCTTATTTTTGCTTGCCATCTTGATGAGAGCTAGCACGAATATATCTGCTCAAGCTCAGAATCATACTAAGGATGTCAGTGATTAACCAGTTAACCAATATCACCCTTATCGGGTAATGCTTATCGGTTAACCAGTGACTCCGCTGGACTGGAGCTGCCCTCAAGCAGCTCGCTGCCTACCCATGGTACAGCCTGGCTGGAGCAGCCCCCAGCCAGAGCCGCCCCCACCCATGGTAGGGGGCTGCTCCAGCTCAGTTTGCATGCCATGCCATTAACCAGTGAAACATAATGTTTAACCAGTTAACTGATTAAATGGGATTTTACATCCCTAAATCAAACCCCCAGCTCCGAGCATAGATATACCCTTGTGCTGCGTCTAGACTGTCAAGTTTTTCTGCAAAAGCAGTTGCTTTTGCGGAAAAACTTGCCGGCTGTCTACACTAGTCGCTTGAATTTCCGCAAGAACACTGACGATCTCATGTAAAATTGTCAGTGTTCTTGCGGAAATGCTATGCTGCTCCCGTTCGGGCAAAAGCCCTCTTGCACAAATGCTTTTGCGCAAGAGGGCCAGTGTAAACACCGCGGAATTGTTTTGCGCAAAAAAGCCCCGATTGCGAAAATGGCGATCCAGGCTTTCTTGTGCAAAATCGCATCTAGATTGGCACGGACGCTTTTCTGCAAAAAGTGCTTTTGCGGAAAAGCGTCCTTGCCAATCTAGACACTCTTTTCCGCAAATGCTTTTAACGGAAAACTTTTCCGTTAAAAGCATTTGCAGAAAATCATGCCAGTGTCTAGACATAGCTTTGATGTGTAAAATTGGAATAAATGCAGGTTGCTAAGGTAACTGTATACATTTTAAGATTTGATAAAGGAGCAAGAATTTGTTAATGGAACAAGGAATTTCATTTCTCTTCTCACAAAAGAAATCCATTGCAGATGGTAACTTGAGTATTTTGGTTTTTATTTAAAGGCTTTCATTTAAAAATAGTTGACATTAAATGTTATTAAAATGTAATGGCTCTTTACAATAGGGAGGAAAATTTAGCTATAATTCAGCCTTCTAATCTAGCAACTAGGAAATGTACTAAAATTAATTGCAGGCTTCCTGAAGTCCTGTTGTAGTTTTGTGAGGCTGGTTAAGGTAGACTACAGGACCCATCACAGAATGCACAGGTATGTGCTATGAAAGTGGTATAAAAAGCTTACAGGTTATTGGGACCTAGTTATTGTAACTCAGGGCTTGTCTTCACTGCTTGACAGTTAGCTCAAGTTATTACACAGGAAATAGCCTAGATCAGGTGAGAGTGACCACACTAAAAAACACTTGAACTAAACAGTGATTGGATTAGTAGAGTTGATAACTTGTGCAACTAAAGCTGTAGCATGTAGCTGCAGTCCCATAGCATTATTAGCATGCGTACTAGAACTTCAGCCTGTAGCCCCTGCTGGACCAGCTATTTCAAATTTAAAACATTTAACCTAAGCTATAGATTTTGTGCAAACCAGAGTTGGGTTGGGATAACGCTCACTATACCTTGAACTAACATTGAAGTGAGACATCAGAGTGTTAGATGAGTTTATTGCATTTTTGTTTGCCAATCAAAACATACAGATCTCATTATTTCAAATTTTCTATTTCTTTATTTTCATTTAGGGGAGCCTTATGTTTCATAAACTCAGACCTGTAGATCAACTGCGACATCTCCTAGTTTGCAATGTAGGAGGTGATGGAGAGGAGATTGAAAGGTTTTTCAAGTTACATCAGGTGGGAATCTTTAACTTGCCACGAGAAAACAAGTCCTCAGTGAATAGACTTAGGACTTCATCAATATGAAGAATAAGTGAACTCCACACAGTTGTAAATCTACAGTGCTGTAATCTGCTCACTGACTAGTCATGTGAACCTGCTACCATGCACTAAAGGTTCCATGGTGCAGTTTGATGGGGTTTACATGGCAGTCAATGAGCAGCAGGCTAGAATGCAGAGGATTTACAACCTAGCTTGTTATGTTATAACCATCCATTAAAGAAGCCCTCGGTATATAGTCATATACCTTGAATAGTTTATATTGTAAATATGGCCGTTCTTAGGCTTAAAAAGTATTAGTTCTCATTTTACCTATCGTATATCTAGGTACTTGTGTAGCCTTTCTTATAGCCTTTCTTATCTGAACATCTAAAAACATTCTGTCTTGCCAAGAACTGTAACTACCGTGTATAGGCCAATATAATGCTGCTTTGTCAGTTGGATAAGAAAAATAACGTACAAGGAAAAGGTAATCATTTTTGTGGCGTCTAAAGACGTGGGTAATATTGTTTTCCTTAAAATTGTTTCATATAAGTGACCAACACAAAATTGTGACAAGACTGAGGAATGTAGTTCTCTTATTAGAAGAATTATTAATCTTAAGAAAAACAATGTCACGGTCCTAGTCCCTTTCAGAAAAGTTTTGTATGTGCTTCAGTGGCTACAAATACTTAGCATCTACCTTCTATTTTTTATTATTAAAATTGGTACGAAGCAAACTAGAATGAAACTTTTTCATTGAATGTGATTTGACACATGTAGTTCTTTCTTAATTTATATATCACAATTTATATATCACAGTATATTAGTGATAAAAACTTAAAATAATCTCTGCTGCTGTTTCTTTGAGAAGGGGGTAAAACAGATTTTTTTTAAGTGACTTTTATTTAATATTTAGTCCTTTAATAAATAATGTAATAATTTAAAATAATATAGTGTTAAGAAGGATAAAAATATAACTGAACAAACTCATATTTCCATACAAGTATATCTTATACTTATAAAACAGATTTTCCTTATACAGGCAGTCCCTGACTTACGCGGATCCAACTTATGTCGGATCCGCACTTACGAACGGGGCTTTTCTCGCCCCGGAGCTCACGGGCGGCGGGTCGCCACCCGTGTACTCCGGGGCGAGAAAAGCTTCTCCCGGTCTCCCTGGTCTGCTGGGGGAGGGGTCCAGCGGCTTTGCTGGACCCCCCCAGCAGACCAGGGAGACCGGGAGAAGCTTTTCTCGCCCCGGAGTACACGGGTGGCGACCCGCCGCCCGTGAGCTCCGGGGCGAGAAAAGCCCCGTTCGTAAGTGCGGATCCGACATAAGTTGGATCCGCGTAAGTCAGGGACTGCCTGTATAAGGAAAATCTGTTTTATAAGTATAAGATATACTTGTATGGAAATATGAGTTTGTTCAGTTATATTTTTATCCTTCTTAACACTATATTATTTTAAATTATTACATTATTTATTAAAGGACTAAATATTAAATAAAAGTCACTTAAAAAAAATCTGTTTTACCCCCTTCTCAAAGAAACAGCAGCAGAGATTATTTTAAGTTTTTATCACTAATATACTGTGATATATAAATTGTGATATATAAATTAAGAAAGAACTACATGTGTCAAATCACATTCAATGAAAAAGTTTCATTCTAGTTTGCTTCGTACCAATTTTAATAATAAAAAATAGAAGGTAGATGCTAAGTATCGCTGCTGAAACTGACCAGCGGCTGACTACAGGAAGCCCGAGGCAGAGTTGCTCTGCCCCAGGCTTCCTGGAATCAGCCGCTGATCAGTTTCAGCAGCAGCTGACTTGGGGACGCCTGGGTTTCTTAAGTTGAATCTGTATGTAAGTCAGAACTGGCATCCAGATTCAGCCGCGGTTGAAACTGATGAGTTTCAGCAGCGGCTGACACCAGTTCCGACTTACATACAGATTCAACTTAAGAACAAACCTACAGTCCCTATCTTGTACGTAACCCGGGGACTGCCTGTATTTCATTTACTGCTACCTTATTTAACATGCTAAGAATCAACAATGCGCATAGAAAGCTTTCATGGATCACTTTACCTGTCACAGCATGATCTCTTACTGTCATTATTCTTTTTTGCTTAACTGATAAGATTCAGGTTATGTCTAAACTAGAAACGCAACAGCAGCACTCACTACAGTGATGGAAGAGGTATTTCCATCACTGTAGGAGATCCACCTCTCCACGAGATGGTAGCAAGGTTGACAGAATTATTCCTAGTTCAGCTTAACTACATCACACAAGGCATGACATTTTTCACAGCCTAATCAGTGTACTTAAGCTGACCTAACTGTGTAGCATAGACCAGCCCTTAGTCTCCTCACTGTTGAGACAAACAGATTGTATTGAGTATTTTGTGATGGGTTAATATAACTCCTTCAGACTTTTCAACACCAAAGTCAAATTGTTGTCAGTCTGATAGAAAGCATGATTTCCTACAGGAGGACCAGGCCTGTGCCACTTGTCTTATTCTTGCCTGTTCTACTGCTGCTTGTGATAGAGAAGTGTCTGCTTGGGCTACCCGAGCATTTTTCAGGTAAGTTCAGTTAATCTTTAGATTTTGCCTTCAATTTTATGTTTAAAATCTAATGCCAATATAGACACACAAGCATGTTTTTGCTGTGTTTTACAGTAGGCAGGAACTATTAAGTTCTGTATAAGTATTGTCTTAAAATTAGTGTAGACTCATAGCAAAATAATATGGAACATATATTTTAAATGCACCTGATTGTGCATGTCTGTTTACTTAGAAGTGAGTATGAAACTTGTTTGTTTTGGGCGGTTTTAGAAGTTGTATCTTTTGCATAAAACTCATACCCCACCTCACAAAAAAAACCTAAGAAATATAAATGACTCAATGTTAAGAAAAAACATACAGACTTGAACATCTAATTTGTGTATGTAATTTCATTTGCTAATTATCTGTTGTTCCGCTAACTTTTTGTTAATCAGTCTCCAAATTTGTTTGCACAAATACATTTTTTTGAAATTTTTAAGTCAGTATTTTTAACTTAAATGAAAAATTGCATTATTTCCTGTTTGTTTAATCCACATTTAAAAAATAAGGCCTGATAATTAGATGACTTATATATGTGATATGCAAGGAAGTTAGTCTTTCTCTGGCATACCTTAGGTATGGTGGAGAAGCACAGATGCGATTTCCATCAGCTTTACCTCCTCCGAGCAATGTAGGACCAATTTTGGGGTCTCCTGTTCCTGCTAGTGAGTAGCAAACATTTCGTTAATTTTTTCTTCTGAATTTTTTGTTGCATTTTCATAACTTCTTGACCCTATTTATATGGAGTATTTTCTTTCTTTTCATTCACTGCTTCAAGCAATAAATTGTAATTACTAGCAATACATCTGCTGATTATCAGGGTTGGGTTTTTCTGTTACTTTTGTTTTGAATTATTTTGGATTTAATGGTTCACACTCACATGCTGCAAAACATATAGAGAAGTTCTGAAGATGCTGTCATTATATAAAGGAAATAGTCCTCCTTCCATAGTGCGAAAAGTCACCTTGGCAGCCAAAAAGCAATTTATCAACACTATATTGCAGAGTATCTTCTCACTTTTGTCATTCTCATACATTCACAGGCACTGCAGGTCTATGTGTTTGTGGAAGAAGGGAGAAATGAGAAGGAAAATAAGTTAATTGTTAGGATTTTTGTTGCTGTTTTCCCCTTCCTAAGTCCCTGCCCCAACATGCAGTTCTTGTTCAGTGTTCAGTTCTGTTACCTGGCCTGCCCTAATCCCAATTGAACTTTTAATATATGCTTATTAGAGTGAAGGTCTCTCTGTATTATTCAGATGCAATTATGAGTAGAGGTTCTGGAACAGTTTTTATAGCGGGGGTGCTGAGAGTCATTAAACCAAACTGTAAACATTGAAAAGACTTCATGTCAAGAGATGTGGCAGGCCTCCTGATTCTAGGACATATGGTTATAGGATGAGCAGATTTTATGCAGACATCTTCAAAGAAATAACATAAGAATGGCCAGACTGGGTCAGACCAAAGGTCCATCCAACCCAGTATCCTGTCTTCAGATAGTGGCCAATGCCAGGTGCCCCAGAGGGAGTGAACCAAACAGGTAATGATCAAGCGATCTCTCTCCTGCCATCCATCTCCACCCTCCGCCACACAGAGGCTAGGGACACCACTCCTTACCCATCCTGGCTAATATCCATTAATGGACTTAACCTCCATTAATTTATCTAGTTCTCTTTTAAACCCTGTTATAGTCCTAGCCTTCACAACCTCCTCAGGCAAGGAGTTCCAAAGGTTGAATCTTTGTGTGTAAAGAACTTCCTTATATTCATTTTAAACCTGTTGCCCATTAATTTCATTTGGTGGCCCTTAGTTCTTATATTATGGGAACAAGTAAATAACTTTTCCTTATTCACTTTCTCCACACCGCTCATGATTTAATATACCTCTATCATATCCTCCCTTAGGCTACATCTAGACTACAAGCCTACAAAGATTCTTTCAAAAAAGCCTCTTTCGAAAGAGAGATTCTAGACTACAAGCAGATTTTTCAAAAAAGCGAGCCACTTTTTCGAAAGAGAGTCTAGACGCTTTCTTTTGAAAAAGCACAGTTGCTGGTTCCGGGTGGCCTTAATCAATGTGGAGGCTATTGTAGGGAATAATTCTGGTAGGGAATAATTCTGGACACACTGGGTGCAGGTGAAAACAAGCAGAGGATTTATTGGTTCACACAGCTGGTGGAGTACCCACCAGGAGTTAACCTGGTGAGCAGTAGCTAAATCAAAACATACATTAGATTATATAGGCAGCCAATGGGCAAAGGGGAAGTGATTTGATATGTCTAGCTGCGGAAATGAGATGAGCACATAAGCCAATGAACTATTAAGGTTACACCAGATCCCCGCTCATCGCCAATTAAACATGTTATCACTAATACAAATAATTATTTATAACAAGCTAAATAAGCCAGCATAAACAAAGGCATGTTGATGGTCATTTTGTTGGCCGGAAATATAATACGTCTACTGTGGGGGTGAGATTGCCTGGGGTCGGCACAGCCTTTGGGGTCCAAGCTTATTTTCTAGGAATAAAGCAGACAGTGAAAAACAATCCCGCATGGTTGTTCGGTTGTTTGGTACCGACCTTATCAAAGTGAGGCCCTTTTGGAATGTGTTTTCCAGGGGAACCAGGGTTATGGTAGCTACTGTCTGTGTGCTTCCCAGGCCTAGGCTAATGATTTAGGATATGAGTTCTCAGCAAGATACCATGGACTGCCTCAATTTACCCCTACAATGAGGTTTACTGCGATTGAAAAAACTGCTGCGTTCTTTCGATTTACTTTCAACAGAACGCGGCTGCAGTCTAGACGCAGGTGAAGTTTTTTCAAAAAAAGGCTACTTTTTTTCAAAAAAACCCTGTAGTCTAGACACACCCTTAAGTCTACTCTTTTCCATGATGAAAAGTCCTAGTTTCTTTAATCTCTCCTCATATGGGACCCATTCCAAACCCATAATCATTTTAGTTGCCCTTCTCCGAAGATCTTGGTCTTAACCCACAATGCCCCTTTTGTCCAGTCATAACCAGTATCTACATATGAAGTCCCTCATGGTTAATTGTGTTTAGCAAGAAACTCTGCAGAAACTATTAAACTAACTGTTGAAAATGATTTATAAAAGTTAGATGTCTTTAAGTCACCAGCACCTGATTAAATGCAGAATATTCAGTGACCAGATTGAGGAGGTTTCTGAGCCCTTAGCTATTATCTTTGAAAAGTCATGGAAGGCAAGAGAGATTCCAGAAGACTGGAAAAGGACAAATAAAAGCTTATCTATAAAAAGGGAAATAAGGACAATCCAGGAAACAACCAACTAGTCAGCTTACCTTCTGTGCCAGGAAAGATAATGGAGAAAATAATTAAGGACTCCATCTGGAAAATAATAAGGTGATAAGTAACAGTATGGATTTGTAAAGAATAAATCATGTAAAACTAATCTGATAGCTTTCTTTGGTAGAATAGTGTTATGACTGAGGGGGAAATGGTAGATGCAGTATACTTCAGTAAAGAATTTGATACAGTCTTGCATAACATTATCGTAAATTAACTAGGGAAATATAACCTAGTTGGGGCTCCTGTAAGGTAGGTGCATAACTGGTTGGATAACTGTTCTCAAAGAGTAGTTATCGATGGTTAACAGTCATGGTGGAAGGGCAGAACAAGTGGGGTTCCACAGGGATCAGTTTTGAGAATGGTTCTGTTCAATATCTTCATTAACGATTTACATGGTGGCATAGAAAGTATGCTTATAAAGCATACCAAGCTGGGAAGGTTTGCAAGTGCTTTGAAGGATAGGATCATAATTCAAAATGATCTGGACAAACTGGAGAAATAGTCTCAGGTAAATAGGATGAAATTGAATAAGGACAAATGCAAAGTACTTCACTTAGAAAAAATCAGTTTCACATGTACAGAATGGGAAATGACTGCCTAGCAAGGAGTACTACAAAAAGGGACCTAGGTTTCATAGTGAACGATAGCTAAATATGAATTAACAGTTTGACACTGTTGCAGAACAAGCAAACATGATTCTGGGATGCTTTAACAGGAGTGTTGTGAGCAACACACAAGAAGTCATTCTTCCACTCTACTTTGCGCTGATTACACCTCAACTGAAGTATTGTGTCCAGTTCTGGGTACCGCATTTCAGGAAAGATTTGGAGAAGGTCCAGAGATGAACAACAAAGAGAATTTAAGGTCTAGGAAAACATGAGCTATGAGGGAAGAGTGAAAGGACTGGGTTTGTTCACTTTGGAAAAGAAAAGACTGAGAAGAGATGTGATAGCAGTTTTCAAGTATCTAAAAGGATGTTACAAGAGGGAATGAAAAAAATATTCTCCTTAACCTCTGATGTTAGGTCAAGAAGCAATGGGTTTAAATTGCAGCAAGGGAGGGCAATGCTGGACATTAGGAAAGACTTCTTAACTGTCAGGGAGGTTAAGCATGGGAATAAATTGCTTAGGGAGGTTGTGGTATCTCCATCATTGCTTAAAACATTTACAAAAAAATTCTTAAAATATTTACTAAGGTGTTGTGCCCCCTGCTCACTGCGCTCACCAACCCTCCTCTCACTGGCATTAGGTAACTCAGGCTCTCCCTCCGGCCACAGGAGATGGCCAGCCTGTGGTCATACCAACCCAAATCCCTTCTAGCTCCCCTGCCACGCCATCTCAGGCTACCTTCTCCCTCCTCCACCCCGCCATCTCAGACCTCTTCTCCGTCCCCCTCAAACCAGAGCCCTTTCACTCTCCGCCAGCCCGGGCCCTTTGTTTCCCCCCCGATCCTAACCCTAGTGGCTGTGGATGTACAGAGGTATCTTGCCCGCCCTGCATGGGGCACAGTGAGGTGCAGGTAGTGCCGTGTGTACACGGTGCTCCAGGACACTGCAGCCTGCTGAGGTGGGAAAAGCAGCAGCGTGGGGGGGGCCACTTTCCTAATCTCTCCCCCATGCAGTGCTGCTCACTCCCCCAGCCCTGCCTGCAGAGCCCAGAGCTACCTGTCCACCCACTGGAAGCAAAAGGAAAGAAGCAGAGAGGTCAGTGTGGCAGCTTCCCGGGTGGCTTGGGCAGCCGCGGTAAGTGCAGCCACTCGGGAAGGGGGGTGAGTCTTTGCAGCAGCAGCTGGACTCCAGGTGGTCAGGCACCACGCTTCTCTTCAAGAGCCTAGTGGCTGGGGAGCCCTCAAGAGCTCACTGCTGGCACATAAGCCTGGCAGGGAATCCCGCTGCTAGTACCTGTCCCCAGGCTGCTGTCCCAAGCACTGTACCCTCTCCCTGCCCCTGGGCTGACATGGCTGCGATTTGGGGTCTTCCAGCTACTGTGCCTTGTTTCTTCATATTGAAAGCCCAGTGGAGTGTGGGTGGAGGAAGGGGAATAGGAACTTGGTTTAAAATAGCAATTCCAAGTGGTGAGGGTAAGCAAAGAGGTTGGGCTCAAGGTGGGAGGGGAGAGTGCGAGGGAGCAGGTGCGACTCAGTGTTACATGATGACATCACTCTGTCCCGCAGGAAACGTATTTTTAATATATAGAGAGATAAGAATGTTAAAGTTGCAAAGTCAAAGCCAGCACAACCTTAATTTGGCACCTTATGAATATGCCTTATGACACAATCTTTGATCACATGATAATTGACTAAGTACTCTGCAGTACCATGTCTCATTCAGTGTAGATGAACGTGCGTTAGGAATTAATCAGTGTTGTATAGTGGAAGAGGCTGTTTTTTGTAGTTATCCAACCTCATTTATTGAAGTTGAGAGGTGTGTGGTGTTGAGGCAGGAGAGGATGGTCTCATGATTAAGACAGTTGAATGTGACTCTGGATAATTTAATTCTACTCCTGCCATAGATGTGTTCTGTATGTTGCTGGGTAAGGATTATAAACCAAAATTTTTTCCGGTGGCCATTGCATATTTCTCATTTTTTGGATACTTAACTTGAGGTACATGATTTGGAGAAGAGATGACTGTTCATAGCTGCAACTGATGTCCATGAAAGCTCGAATCTGAAAGTACAGAGTATTACATGTATTCTCAAATGGTCAGGCCCTGGGTGTTGCAAATTGGACACCTAAAAATAGTTGACACATTTGACAATTTTGTCTATAATCTCTGGCCTCAGTTCCCATATGTAAAACCGGGATAATACAACCTCAACTTGGCTTTTGTTGTATATTGTGAAGAGTTCACAATGATAACAGCATTCGAAAGCCCACAAGGAAATGATAACTCTGTGTTTGGTGCCAACTTTGGGTGGCGTGCAGTAAGTGAAACATGGGACCACATTAAATGATTAGAATTTAAAAAAAATTAAGTAGCTGCCTATTCAGTGAGCACTGACCATTCTGTGCACCAAGGGAAGCAAGGTTCCTATGCAAAATTTGTGATCATATAATTAAAGTTTATGGTAATGGATATGTACAAGGGTGTCAAATTAGGTTGCATAAGGTAAACTTATTTCGCATCTTTCTTAACTTCTGAATATTTGACTTGGCAACTTCATCATTCGTTTCAAATCATGGGATTTTGTTGTTTTTGATACAATAAATTATATATTTTTTTCACTGTAGATTCCCCTATGACTGTTGGCAGTCACTATCCTAATCCAAGCTTTTTGACAACACCAGCACAAGGTTTGTTTTCATTTTTTGTCACATTAACAATTAGATTACGTATTTATATCAACAGTAGTTTGAGTAATCTGTATATGTCCCTGTCCTAGGTTTGCAGCCTCCTAGTATGTCAACCCCACTGTATGCTGCAGGCAGTTCAATATCTCAGGCTGGCGCATCAATGAGTGGTATGATGGGCCCAGAGATAGTGTTTTCAGGAAAGCACAACGGCATCTGCATATACTTCTCTCGAATTATAGGGTAAGTTGTTTATGTAAAAGATGTTTTGTTACATAACAGTAGTTCATAACATAGTTTTTCTATCCATTAATGGAGTGATATTTGCTTTTGATATTGTACTTACTGTAGTTTAATAATTAAAAAGTATGTATTTGTGGCTAATCTAGGTACATTCTAGTGGACCGGTGTAATCAATCTGACATGCTGTCTTCTTTTTACAAGTGTGTAATTAGCCATTGTAGCAAATGTGCAAAATGACCAATCTGTTGGTCTTCTTTCCTTTCTCAGACCCAATAACACCCAGGGTATCCCACAGAAAGCATGTCATCACACATAATATAAATAGATCAGGTAAAGAGAGAGTAAACCACAGCGATTTTTTTTTCACTCTTTCTCCCTTACTGCTCCATGTGTTTCCTATTCATAGGGTATCTGTTACCTCATTCCCTTTACAGACCTACTAATAATGCATTCCGTGGATGCCCTGGACAGTAGGTCTGCTTAGGCCCTGACCCTTCAATTGGCTTCTTACAAGCACACACCTGCAAACTAATTTCTTAAGATCTAGTCCTGTGAGGTGCTCTTTGCTTTCAGTTCCTATTCAGGTCTATGGGAAACAAGAATGCCCATCATCTCACAGTTCTGAGCCCCTAGATTGTAGCTTTCTTGGTTAAGGAATTAAAAAAATGTCCTGTTCTAAGCAAGCTGCTAGTGTATACCAATAATAAATAATAGTAGTACAGGCAGTCCCCGAGTTACGTGGATCCGACTTATGTCGAATCCGCAGTTACGAACGGGTATTTTTTCGCCCCGGAGGACTGGAGCGGCGGGACGCCTGGTCCCGCCGCCCACCTCCTCCGGGGCGAGAAAAGCTGCTCCCCGTCTCCCTGGGCTGCTGGGGGAGCCAGCAGACCAGGGAGACGCTGAGCAAAGGGCCGGACCCGCGGCGCCTCCAGCTGATCAGTTTCCAC